TAAAATCAATACACAAAAATCTATTGTGTCAGAGAAATTAAGAAAACAATCCAATTTACAGTTGCATCAAAAATAATAAAATACCTAGGAATAAATTTAGCCAAGGAAGTAAAAGACCTCTACACTGAAAGCTATAAGACATTGATGAAAGAAATCGAAGAAGACACAAATAAGTGGAAAGATATTCCATGCTCATGGATTGGAAGAATTAATATTCTTAAAATATCTGTACTACCCAAAGAAGAGTATAGAATGGGTGAAGGTGGTCAAAAGGTACAAACTTCCAGTTATAAAATAAATCATGGGGATGTAGTGTACAGAATGGTGACTATAATTAATAATACCGTATTGTGTATTTGAAAGTTGCTAAGAGAGTAGATATTAAAAGTTCTCATCACAAGGAAAAAATTATACTATGTAGTGGGGAATGTTAAGTAGAATTATTGTGGTGGTCATTATATATGTGTGTCTGTATAATTACCTTGTGCACTAGAAACTGATATAATGTTATATATCAATATATGTCAGTTTTTAAAAAAAGAGAAAAAGGAGCAGTGAGAAAGGACATCCTTGCCTTGTACCTGATCTTGGTGTGAAGGCTTTTGAGTTTCTCTCCATTAAATATAATGTTAACTGTACATTCTTTGCATTCTTTATCAAGTTGAGGAAGTTACTCTCTATTTCTAGTTTGCTGAGAGTTTTTAATCATAAAGGGGTATTGGATTTTGTACTTTTTTGGATTCAGTTTGCTAATTTTTTTTTTTCTTGCTGCGTCACACGGCTTGCAGGATCTTAGTACCCTGACCAGGGATTAAACCCAGGCCACAGCAGTGAAAGCACCAGGTCCTAACCACTATACTGTCAGGGACTTCCCGATTTGCTCATATTTTGTTCAGAATTTTTGCAGCTGTGTTCATGAGAGAGAATGCTCTATAGATTTCTTTCCTTATGTCTTTGTCTGGTTTTGGAATTAAGGTAGTGCTGGCCTCATCATATCATAGAATGAGTTAGGAAGTATTTTCTCTGAAAGAGATTGTAGAGAATTAGTATAACTTCTTCCTTAAATGTTTGATTGAATTCTCCAGTGAACCCATGTGGGCTTGGTGTTTTCTGTTTTGAAAGCTTACTCTTGATTCTTACTCTTTTATATATTCTAGTTACAAGTTCCTAATTAGGTATATGATTTACAAATATTTTCTCATTAAGGTTCTTTTTTGCTGTACTGTTTTAAGGGCATTTGCATTGGGAATACTTTTTAGCCTTTTTTAGAAGTAATTATTTTCTGAATGCAAATACTGACTTATACAATACTAATGGTAAATAAATAATGATTTCATTGACTGTCCTTCCCGAAAACCTCTTGTTGGAAGGGCAACCTAAATAAGTATCATGAAGATAAAAATAAGTAAGTAAATAAAATGAAAATTGGATGCCTGCTAGTAGTTACAGAATGTTTGTAAACTTCCCTTCCATCAAGTTTTCAAACTGTTTAATATGATTTCTCAGATACACAAAGTAGTATTCAGCTACTTTGGTTGGGCTAGACAGCCCCCTGCACATACCATACAATTTTCCTTTCTAATCACAGATAGCCTTTTGAGAGTAACCCATAAAAATTGTTTATTACAGGAGCCAAATCTGTTACTTATTTGGGGTAGAGACTGGAAATTTAGTGAAAATGAGAGAGAACTCCATGGAACTTGAATGGATATTTAATAATTCTATCCACTTCTTATTTTCATATGAATGTTCTTAGTCTGGAGGTAATGAATTGCAAAAAGATTAATTGGACTTAACTAATTAAAAAACTAGTGAGTCAAGTGATACCATGAAGAGAGTGAAAAGACAACTTACAGAATGGGAGAAAATATTTGTAAATGATATGCTATCTGACAAGGAACTTGTAACCAGACTATGTAAAGAACTCTTACATCCTAACAATAAAAAAAAACCCAGTTTAAAATGGGCGAAGGACCTGAATAGACATGTGTCCAAAGATGTACAAATGGCCAATGAACGCATAAATAGATGCTCAACATCAGCCATTAGGAAATGCACATGTACACTATAATGAGACACCACTTCATACCCACTAGAATGGCTAAAATAAAATTAAAAAGTGAGACAATAACAAGAGTTGACAAGGTTGTGGAGAAATTTGGACCCTCATAAATTGCTTGTGGGGTTTTAAACTGGTACAGCCACTTTGGAAAACAGTTTATTAATTATTCTAAAACTCAAACTTTGAGGTATTATATGACCCATTAGTTACACCCAAGAAAATTAGAAACATGTCTACACAAAACTTGAACACAGATATTCATAGTAGTATTATTCATAACAGCTAAGAAGTGCAAACAACCCCAAAAGTACTTTTTTAAGCATCTGGTGTCTGCAAGGCAGTATACTTAAGTATACTTTGGAGACAGACTTTTCCTGATTTCGTTTGGCCACCAGTAGTTTTAGATAGCAAAAGAGATAAGATAGTGTATAAATGAACCCCATTCTTTATTTAATTGTTAAAAGAATTCAGAGGGGGAGAAAAGCTAATTGCTTCAGACTGAGAATATTTGAACAGTGGACAAAATTGGATTGGTAGGAACCAGGGAAAAGTTTGACTTTGAATTTAAGCCAGCAGAAAAATTGGTCAGACTTTATTTCTCCTCTCCTATACTGAGGATTTTTGTCTCTGGGATGACATATAGGCTACCTTTTAGAGTTGTGAGTCATGAAAATTGCCGAACACTGAGTGTGTCTTTATCTCACCAGTGGCCAGTGCCAGAAAACTGTGGAGTGACTTTATAGACTTTTTGTTCATTTCTCACGTCTCTAAATTTGATGAATTTTTATCTTTTATAATGGCTCTCTATTCCCATTACTTTCGTCCCAATGAACGAAAGTAATGGGAATTACTAGCATTTCTTGCTAGTCCAGTGACTTCCTGATTTGCCCACTTTTTGTCCATCCCACTCTTTTAACCTTCCACAATGCTCTAAAGATCTTTGTAAGTAGTTGATCTGATGGTATTACCTCCTTCAGTAGCTCCTAAAGTCTTATTTGTGGAGGTGCTATTCAATAACAATTTGTCCAGTCCATGCAAAATGAGAAAAATAAGGACAAGTTAGGAATTTTGTACAAGTAAAATTTATTCACCTTACAAGTCTGTTTTATTCTGTTATGTTCTTGTTTTAGGAGCATATAAAATGCCCTTTTTAAAAGATTGGGGAATGGGGTTAGGTGGTATTCGCTATTTTCGTTTTCCTTACCTGTCAAAAGTGGCAGTTCTTCCTAAATTTTAAATCAAACCATTTTTTTTTAATTTTTGGTCTTTGATATTCAAAGGTCTTAGAACCACTGGCCTGCAGGATTAAGTTCCTGATACCTTGACAATGGCACATAAAATGATTTCATTTTGAAATATCTCGTGAATTTCATCTCATGTGCTATTCCAGTTCATTGATTGGGGGCTCTGTGGACAACTTGGTGTGAAAGGCTTGTGAGACCAAGTTTGTGCGAAGCTGAGGAGTTCTACATTTACTTAGCAAAATATTGAATGGGCAAGGGATGGATGAAATCCTGATATGCCCATTCCTACTTTTTCAGCTTTGCATCTTCTGCTTTTCCATGTATGTGCACAGTTTATTCTGTAGAGTTACCATGGACTAATACAGTTCCCTGAATGCATGCAGTATGCTTCTCATAATTAAAAGATAATCGGAGATCAAGTAAGTAGTGATGCCTTAGAAGAATTCCCATGGCAGAATAGTTGAGACATCTTTTTATCTTTTTGTGTTGTCTGTCTATAATCTTCCTCATTTGCCTACTCAGTGAACTCTACCTATGGAGTTCATAGTTAATCACCTATGAATTCTCCCCTGCTTTCCTCAGACATAGTTTTTTTTTTTTCTGTAAAACTTTCAACATATCTCCTATTACAGTACTTACTTATATTATACCTACTTATTTATCTATACTCTAAAGCTCTTTGATGGAGCACATTATTTGGGCTCTTATGTTTATAATACTAGGTTAATATAGACTGAATTTATGGCCCATGATAACATTCCATTTTTAACTTTTCTTTTGTCAAGAAATATAACACTTTAAAGAATGTTGTTTCATTTTAATATTCTTCAATAAAATGAACTACTTACCATCTACTTACATGTTAAAATGGTTTATAAATGTCTTTTTTCCTTTATTTCCTAGAATAAAAGTTATTTCCTAGAAATAACTTTTACGTTAGTGGTAAGTGTCTTTAAGCAATTCAGAGATTATGCGTCAAATTCGTCCTTCTTGGTCTCTTTCTGTGTGTGCGTGTGTGTGTGTGTGTGTGTGTGTATTTGTACATTGTAACTTCTGTGTTATTTCATGTTGTTGTACATATAATTATATGTTTAAAGAAAAAACCTTGAGCTTAGAGTTTTACAGTATGTAGTTTTAGCTGTTTCTTCCTTCACTGATGAAGAAATTCCGTATATTAGGATTTTTTTTTTTAGTACCATTTATAGTGTTTTACTGTATTCCTGAGATGGACATAAGATCCAGATACATTTTATATTAGTTGAAAATCTTATTTTTATAGTGGAGTATTCACAGTCACTTTCTATATTGGTGCCTTTCTTGGTGTTCTGTTTATCTAAGAAGAGGAAACAAGGTTCCTCAAAAGGTTAATATTAAACCAGGAGAACAAAATGATTACATATAAAGTTTTTACTCTTCAGTGTTTCCTAGACTAGTGTTTATATTCAGTTACATAGAAGACATAATCTAAATCAGATTGGTTACCTAGCAAAGTACAATTAAAGTATAAAGTAAAGGGACAAGTGGTAGAAGGGAACAAAGACTATGAAAAACCTACATGGTAGAAAAATTTGTGTCTGTGAGGAATGAATGGTCCTTGGGAATTTATTAGAGCACTGTAGATTAAATGTAATATTTAAATTTAAAAATTGCAAGTGTTTTATTGTTCCTTTAAAAAACTGTTTTTTAACTTACAGTCTACATCAGCATCAGCATCTGCATTACCATTTCAGTCTACATGGTATAGTGAGTCTGAGATAACTCAGGGAGCACGTTCAAGATCGCAAAACCAGCAACGGGATCATGATTCAAAAAGACCTAAACTTTCCTGTACAAACTGTACATCTACCTCAGCTGGGAGAAGTGTTGGACATGGTTTAAATGCAGTATCAGGTAATAATTAAATTTGTATAAATATGAATCACTGTGTATGTATTTCGGACAAAAGCCCTTTTCCCAAGATGTAGTGTACTAAGAAGCAAGTAGATTGCACATAAGACTGGGTCAGAAATAGAGCGGAGGTTCCAAAATCTTAACAAAGTTAGAACTGAAATTAACTCTTCATCTTGGATTTTTGTTCTAAATTTGGTACAGATATCTTACACAAACAGGATATTAGCAGATTTTAATTAATTAGAATAGCTGATACATATGGTAATAAAATTAGTAAAAGTGACATGTATTTTGCTGGTTATTATAGGAGGTAAATTTTTAAATTGTTAATAAGAAAGCCAGATTTACTGATACGTGTTTCCTTAGCATATTTTTTGTAAATAATAAACATTGTGCTATATAACACATATTTTCAGAAAATGTAGAAATTCTTTAGTTAAACAAAAAACAGTTGGCGGTATTCTAGTGGGAGTTCTGTACAAGGAATTAGAAAGCTATGGTTCTAGTCCTCTAACTATGTGACATTGGACAAGTCACTTTACCACTCTGGTATGAAAGACTTATGCATAAAGTTCCATGCTTAGTATCTTGTACTCACAGATACTAAGATACAGGCACACATTTGTTGCACAAATTGGAAAGATCTTTTGTTGAGAGGTACTTCCTCACTTATACTTCTCTTCAAATGAAACACTAGCCAATGCCTGAAATAGTTTTAAGGTAAGATAAAACTTGTGATGACACAGTTGGAGAATAATATTCTTGAAATGCATATGTACTACTAAATGAATTAGCGTAAGCGATTCCTTTCTATTTCGATAGGCAGGACTGCCATGGGAAAGACACTGCCCATCTGAAGGATTTTAAGAGTAGTGTGATGGGTAAGAGCAGACTGACCTTAACTTTGTAGACAAATACCATTGTGTAGAGATACTTTTGTTTTCCTCTGGTCTGTGAAGGCATAGCATTAACCCTGGGCCGTTTCCCTTAACGAAGGGAAATTATTAAGGCTATTAGGACTAGGAGAGGAAGACCCAGAATTTCAAGGTAAATGGTGAGGGGGGAAAGTTTTGAGACTTAGTTTTTAATTTCTTTTTAAATGAAATCATATCTAACAAAGTTTAGATTATAATTGCAATGATACATTACTTCTTAGCATAAGAATGAGCCAAATATGGTGGCAATAATAGTTCTGACAAAATAGTATTATAACCTACAGAATAACCTCTTTCATTTCAAGATGGCTTTGATTTTGATTTTGGCTGTTCTCCGACATCACTTTGATCAACTTTTCATGAAATTCTGCATCTTTGGCAAGCTTTATATTTTTGTTCTGTAATCATTTTATGTCATGTTTATATATCGTACGGTCAGATGTTCTAGAGAGTGAGACATTGACATCCTAGATGGGGGCAGATTATAGTATTAGAGAAGGATGTGTTTGAGTAGGAGATAATTTTATAAGTGATTATTTCACTAGTGAATAATTTATGTTTTGCTCAGTTTTGCTTTTGATTGCAACTGTGTAACTGGGGATTCCTGTAATAAACCATAATTACCTCTCTGTGTAATACTGAAGATCTGTTGTCATCAGAAACCTTGAAAACTTTCTCTGAATTAAGACTTCTTCAATTATTTTAAGATTCTTCTTGGAGGCATAGTCAAGTTCCCAGATCTTCATCAGTGGTACTTGGATCATTTGGAACTGACTTAATGAGAGAGAGGAGAGCAGATTCCTCCATTAGTAATCTTATGGATTATAGTCACCGAAGTGGTGATTTCACAACTTCATCATGTATGTATAAACTATATTGTTATGCATAATTTATCTAATAATGTTACATTTTTGTCTTTGTATGTCGTTAGAATCACAGTACAAAGGAATAAATGAAGTGAATATTATGAAGATTTAGAATACAGGATAGCTTGATATGTTTTCAACCTTATTTGTCATTTTACTTTTAAAAATGTAAACAATATAAAATATTTAGATATACATGAGTATCCAGATTCTGTCTGCCTATAATTTTTTCACTCTTAAGAATGTATGTTTTACATATACTTGATAATTCTTGTATACTACAATATAATTTGCCTTGTGAATTACCTAAAACTTGAAATCACCATTTTAAGACATAATTTAGAATTCCTTTAGTTTAACATGAATTTGTCTTTATTTTCATTTAGTTGAAATAAAGACCCACACTGTTTCTGTCAGTGTACATAAGCCAAAACTTTAAAAAAAATAGAAGTCCAATGCACTGTCCATTGTGCGACAGAGCCACCTTAAAAAAAATAAATGCCATAAAACAATAATGCTAGATAACTGAAGATAAAAGGTGCTAATTGAAGTTGAGAAATATAGCACACAGAAGTGGAATTTGATTTACAGAGAAGAAAATACATTTCTATTTAAGGATTTAACTAGATTATTTTAAATAATCTGTTGGGGCAAGCTGTTGCTTTATTTAAGACAAATGAAAGCATCTTTTCATTTGCTTGGCTTTGGGTGGAGGAGCTTTAGTAGACAGTGTCGGTAGCTTCTCGGTTTGGGGGGTAAAAATGTACAGAATAGAATTGATATAGTCCCTAACAGTTAATCCTTCCATGAGGCACCATGTATTAGCACAGCAGCAATCTAGCTCTTAAACTAGATGTATGGATGAATATTCTTTATGAAGGAATGCTTTGGTATTTCTCTTTCCATTTGATGATTAGAACCATCAGTAGTGTACTATTAAAATCGCAGATGCCAGGGCTCTCTTGTGACTCAGTATTGGGGAAAAAAAAAAAAAAAGCATAGTTATGTCTGATGAGTAACTGGGTATAAGAGTCACTGCTGTTAACTTGAAAGAAAAGATAAAACATTGGAGAAATTTTGAATTGTTAGCATGGTTTGCTATGAAATTATAAGGGTGATAGTATTTATGTGAAATAACTTTTGTTCTTGTTCCAGAGTAAGAAAAATCTCCAAAACACTCTATTATTATTTTGCTTTTACTTGTTATGAGTCATTTACCTTGAATTTGTTTGCCCATTTAAAATCCCTTATCCATTTAGATGTTAGATATTCTTCTGCCATATCAATTTCTGATTAATAAATTCAGCTGTTTTAACTTCATCAAGTTGGTAGATTGATGTTTGCCTCTCATAAGCTATAATACATTTCTTTTTTAAAAAATTTGTAATGCTGACTTTATACAGCAGTATTGGATTTTACCAAAGGTATAGAAAGATAGATAAATATGTTTATTTTTTCTGTAATAATAGTTAAGCTGTGTAGTTATAATATGCCAGTATTCAGTTTGAATCCAGTGTTTAATTTTGGCAGTGATTAGTGGTTAATAGGCACAACCTTAATAATGCACAAATTTTTCATGTAATTGACTACCTTTCCTTTCTTTCAAAAATAGATGTTCAAGACAGAGTTCCTTCTTCATATTCACAAGGAGCAAGACCAAAAGAGAACTCTTTGAGCACTTTACAATTGAATACATCATCTACAAATCACCAAATGCCTTCTGAACATCAGACCATACCATGTTCTAGGGACTCTGGTAGAAATTCTTTAAGATCGAATTTTTCTCCAAGAGAATTAGAATCTCCCCAAAGCAGTATACAGCCTGGATTTTCTTATATTTCAAATAGAGGTGAAACCTCAACTATAGGCAGTTCAAATAGGGTTGGCTCATCTCAAAGATCATTTCAAGAATCTTCTGACAATGAAGGTAGGCGTACAACAAGGAGATTGCTGTCACGTATAGCTTCTAGTATGTCATCTACTTTTTTTTCACGAAGGTCTAGTCAGGATTCCTTGAATACAAGATCATTGAGTTCTGAGAATTCTTACATTTCTCCAAGAATCTTGACAGCTTCACAGTCTCGTAATGCAGCATCAGCTTCTGATGGTCCTGATAACAGGGCATCCGAAGCTTCTCAGGGATTTCGATTTCTTCGGCGAAGATGGGGTTTGTCATCTCTTAGCCAAAATCATAGCTCTGAGCCAGATTCCCAAAATTTTAACCAAGAATCTGAAGGTAGAAATACAGGACCATGGTTATCTTCCTCACTTAGAAATAGATGCACACCTTTGTTCTCTAGAAGGAGGCGAGAGGGACGAGATGAATCTTCAAGGATATCTACCTCTGATATACCATCTAGATCTCATCATATTTTTAGAAGAGAATCAAATGAAGTGGTTCACCTTGAAGCACAGAGTGATCCCCTTGGGGCTACTGCCAGCAGACCACAAGCATCTGCAGCACCAAGCAGTGCTGCTACGGGGGGCTCTGTATCGGATTCGGCTTACAGTGGACGAAGTACAGGAATAACAGGGATCCTTCCTGGTTCCTTATTCCGATTTGCAGTGCCCCCGGCACTTGGAAATAATTTGACCGACAATGTCATGATCACTGTAGATATTATTCCTTCAGGTTGGAGTTCATCTGATGGAAAAAATGATAAAACTAAAAGTGTACCCTCAAGAGACCCAGAAAGACTGCAAAAAATAAAAGAGAGGTAAGTTTGAATACCTATCTTAAGCCTGTGAAGAACAGATGAGAGAAAGAACTGTTTGTTTCTAAAATGGTTTCTCATAAGAGTGCTGTCTGGGGCTTCCCTGGTGGCACAGTGGTTGAGAGTCCGCCTGCTGATGCAGGGGACACGGGTTCGTGCCCCGGTCCGGGAAGATTCCACATGCCGCGGAGCGGCTGGGCCCGTGAGCCATGGCCACTGAGCCTGCGCGTCTGGAGCCTGTGCTCCGCAATGGGAGAGGCCAGCAATGAGGCCTGCGTAACCCCCGCCAAAAAAGAGTGATGTCTGAAATTTCTTGCCTTAAAATTTACATCCAGTAAGATGTTAGCGTCTTGCTCAGAGGTAAAATGGATAAGAATTAATACTTGTGGTGGGCACTGGGGGTGTAGATTGCATTGGGAAATAATCTAAAGGTTATTTTTAACCAGCTTTGGCTACAGATACATATAGATATATGTATATATAAAAATATACAAATCTTAGATATACAAAATCTTAATCTCTTACCCTGTTTCTAGGTAGACTAGTGCTAAATGGGATTGGTAAAGCAGCCCAAGTTGTTGTGGATTATCAAGACAGTGTTTCAGCCTTTAATAATATCATTTATTGGGACTTGCCTGTTGGTCCAGTGGCCAAGACTGCGCTCCCAATGCAGGAGGCCTGGGTTTGATCCCTGGTCAGGGAACTAGATCCCACATGCCACAGCTAAGAGTTTGCATGCCGCAACTAAAGATCCCACGTGCTACAACTAAGACCCAGTGCAGCAAAATAAATAAATAACAAAAAAATAAGATCATTTATTTACCATTTATTTGTATTTCTCACTTCAAATCTTTTTTGGAATAAGGTAAAATCGTTTCCACAAACTTTAAAATTTTGTTTTTAAGTCCAAATGTATACTGAATATTCTTTATATATTGTCACTATTTGACAGAGATAGCAGTTTAAATTCAGGACTTAGAATCTTTTTATTCATGTGAAATCTTTTGTAGAGTTTAGTTGCTTAAAAATCTTTGGGAAAGGGCTTCCCTGGTGGCGCAGTGGTTGAGGGTCCGCCTGCCGATGCAGGGGACGTGGGTTCGTGCCCTGGTCCGGGAAGATCCCACATGCCGCGGAGCGGCTGGGCCCGTGAGCCATGGCCGCTGAGCCTGCGCGTCCGGAGCCTGTGCTCCGTAACGGGAGAGACCACGACAGTGAGAGGCCCGCGTACCGGAAAAAAAAAAAAAAAAAAGATGAAAGATCTGAGATTTTTCACTCCAACTTAATTATTTTGCATGTTAAGTGTAGTTACTTACTTTTTCCACCTATTAAAATTAGTTTTATGATAAAATGGGATAGGATAGTACATGTAAAATATGCTTGTAAGAAGAAAAGACTTATGTAAAGCTAAGGTCATTGGGTGTTTTTGTTTTTTCTTGTTCATAAAGGCCCCATGTAATAGAATTTTGGGGGAGCATAGTTGTTATATCATTTTAGGGTCTTTTGGTCTTTAAGAGGAAATACATTCAAATCTTGCTCTGGGGAATAAAGGGAGCTTCGCATGCTTTCTGAGATACTGAACATTGACTAATATCTTCCCACTTTCCCTTATATAGGACAAATTGTTACCATGTGACTGTTCTCTTCTTTTAAAATTTGCGCTTTTTCCTTCCTTGTAGAAAGATTTACTCTGCCCTGGTAGTGTTAGCTTTAATGTTATTACAGGAGCTCCCTCTAATTGCAAGCTGTCTACTGAGTAATGTAGTAACTATTATATTTCTTGTGCTCAAAGTTAGATTAATTTGAGTGCAGTAGTGTAAGTAGGGCAAAAAATTAATTTAGTGATTTCCAAAGAGAAACTAAGTAAGCCATCACCACCCTGCCTGGTAAGATAGTTTAAAAAGCAGCATTTGTTGCTTATTTTGACAGAGTTTATATGTGTGTGTTCCTTTATTACATATTTTGCTTAAAAATGAGGATTATAAGATACTTTACAATTAAATGAATAAAAGTGTAAAAAAATTGAGTCTCCCAAAGTAAAAACTATCAACCAAAGAAAGTTATATCTAAAGGTAAAACATAAATGTTAATGCTTGAGGTTGTATCTCTGGTTAATCCTAGGCATGAAAGTCACCTAAAAGTACGCCTGTTCCTCTTTCCACACATCTTTTGCTAAACTCATTTGGAACCCATATAATCCAGGTTATATTTCAATAACAGTTTAGCATTCTGTATCAATTTACTGAGTACCTTTTTCATGTCAGCAGTAGACTAAGGCAATAGGGATTTTAATTTAAAAAACTACTTGTCTTACAGTGATCATTCTGCATTTAAATTAAGCAGTACATGTTGGCCTGTGAAATAGAGGACATAGGTTAATGGAAACTGTTCCACACTTTAAAAGCCTACCCTTGTAGAAATCAGGATGATTTAATAACATCGCTGGGGTGGGGAAAATGAAAAATTTTTAAATCTCTTCTTTTGGTTTTTTTTATTATGATTTAATACAAAAAGCTTATCAGTTTAAACATATGTGGCTCTGCTAACATGTAAATTGAAAAATCACAAGTCAATATTTGTTTAATTCATCAAACTTGTCTTAAAAGTTTTGGGGGGACAGGGACTTCCCTGGTGGTCCAGTAGTTAAGACTCTGTGCTCCCTATGCAGGGGGCCCAGGTTCAATCCCGGTTGGGGAACTAGATCCCACATGCCACAACTAAAAGATCCCGCATGCTGCGACTAAGAGCCCGCATGCCACAACTGAAAGATCCCGCATACTGCAACGAAGATCCCTCGTGCCGCAACTAAGACCTGGTGCAGCCAAATAAATATTAAAAAAAAAAAAGTTTTGCAGGGACAAAAGTGATGGGTATAATAAGTACATTATCTTTATACTGCTGGAATTGAAGTAGTCTATGGTACTGCAGAAATTAAAATCTTAGTGAAACTTACAAATTGTGAAAAATATGGAATTTAAACTCTGGTAGCAGGGGTGGGGTGTGGTGGTGGTGGGATGAATTGGGAAACTGGGATTGACATATATATACTAATATTTATAAAATAGATTAATAAGAACCTGATGTATAAAAAATAAATAAAATTTAAAAAAATAAACTGTGGTACCAAAGATAATTACTTAAACCATTTGAAGATAAGTAATAGGATAGCCTACCTCATTTACCTTTAAAATATTTATTATAATTTTTGTTCTTACTGATACAGTTTTTCTTAGAAGTTCCTGTTTACTATTATTGTTGTTTGCCTTTTTTCTACCTAGAGAGACCATGATATTGTTTGGGATTATGTATGATTGGAAATGACCAACCAGGATGGTTTTGATAGCTCTGTTTAGGAAATGTACCTTCTTTTCCAGCCTCCTTTTAGAGGACTCTGAAGAAGAAGAAGGTGATTTATGTAGAATTTGTCAGATGGCAGCTGCATCATCCTCTAACTTGCTGATAGAGCCATGCAAGTGCACAGGAAGTTTGCAGTATGTCCACCAAGAGTGTATGAAAAAATGGTTACAGGCCAAAATTAACTCTGGTAAGATTTACCCTTTTGTGTATTTTGTTTTCACAGTTTTTTCAAGAGATGCACGTGTGTATGCATTTTAATTAACAAATATGGTTATAATTTATTGATTGTCAAATTTATACCCTTATCAAAAGCATCAATCATTTTTTGAAGCAAAAGCATTGAAGAGTATTAGTCTTGCTTCATAAATTTAACGTATAATAGTGTTTCTTATATTTCATTTACTGAACAATCTACTGTCATACATGTATAATGCAACTGTAATTTGTTATTGTTGGTAACCCTTACATCATGCAATATCTTTTTGAATCAAAGAAATATTCTTACTGTTTACCAACTATGTGTCCTTGAGAAAGTTTTATTGTCTCTAATGTTGCTATGCAGCAATAAGATTACTGTAGGGAGTCGTTGTTTATTAAGTGCCTGTTACGGAGCCAGGCATTGTTCTAGATGTAGGATATAGAGAACAAGACAGACAAGGCACTTGCTCTCCTGGTGGGATTACGTGTTAAAGGAATGCCTTGTTGAGGTGAGGACATTTATACTTGAACGAAGAGGAGCTAGCTATTCTAGAATGAAAGGAAAAGCATTCCAGCACACAGAACAACTAGTACAGAGACTTTAAGGTGGGAATGACTTAGGTGTGTTTGAGGAATTGAATGAAGGCCCAGCATGGCTGGAGTATAATTAGTGGGAAAGGAGAGGGGTGATAAGTTGAGGTAAGAGAGATTAGCAGAGGCTAGCTCATTTAGGACTTTGAAAGTTAATGTCAGAAGCTTAGATTTTTAGGTAAGTGTTGTGGGAAGCCACTGAAGGTCAGGGGAGTGAAATGATCTTATTTATGTTTTGGCTGCTCTGTGAAGAGTGGAGTTTAGTGGGACAAGAGTAGAAGCAGGGAGGTCAACCGGGAATCTATTGTGTTGACCAACCAGGAGTCTGTCTTTACAAGAGGTAGTGATGGTGGTGGTAGAAATGGATGATGGATTCTGGTATGTTTTGGAGGTAGATTCTATAAGACTCACCAGTGGATTGGATGTGGTGGAGTGAAGGAGAAAGAACACTTAGCGAAGCTCATATTTTTGCCTTGAGCAACTAAATAAATGGTGGGGCCATTTACTGAAAATAAAGAAGACAGAATAGAATAAATTTGGGAGAGGAAACTTAGTTCTGTTTTAGAAATATTGTATTTGAACTGTTTATTAAATAACCATATGGAAATGGTTATGGGCAGTTAGCAAGACAGGCGTGATGTTTCAGGGGTTTTAGCACAGAAAATAACAGTTTTAGGAATCATGAGCACGTAATATTTTAAGATTTGAGATTAAGTAAGGTCACTTGAGCAAGAGCAGATATTAAAAAAAATGAGCCCAGGGCAGAGCCCTGAGGCACCCAAACGCTTAGTGGGAACAGAGAAGGAGATTTGAGGAGCAGCCTCAGTCTGGTATGAAGAAAACTGAGAAAATGTAGTGTTGTGCAAGCCAGAAGAAGAAAATGTTTTAAGAGGGTGTAACCAACCCTGTCAGGTACTGCAAAGAAATCAGAACAAAGAGATAAGAACAAAGAAATGGGGCTTCCCTGGTGGCGCAGTGGTTGAGAGTCCGCCTGCCGATGCAGGGGACGTGGGTTCCTGCCCCCGTCCACGAAGATCCCACATGCTGCGGAGCGGCTGGGACCGTGAGCCATGGCCGCTGAGCCTGCGCGTCCAGAGCCTGTGCTCCGCAACGGGAGAGGCCACAACAGTGAGAGGCCCACGTACATCTTAAAAAAAAAAAAAAAAGGAACAAAGAAATGACAGCTGGATTTGGTAGCATGGATGACCTTGGTGACTTCAGTGCTGGGGCGGTGGTGGGGAGGTGTCTTTATGATTAAATTGAGCTGAGTAAGACTGGGGAAGCAGCAGCATAGACGCCCTCTTACAATAAGCTTTACTGTCAAGGAGATGGGAGACACAGTAGGAATTGGAGAGTTATATGGGGTCATGGTACATGTTTTTGTTTTGTTTTTGTTTCGAGGTAGAAATTTGAGGGCATTTTTTATTTTAACAAGAGATACAATGGAGACAAAAAAAATTATGAAAAGGGAAGGGAGGGCTTCCCTGGTGGCGCAGTGGTTGAGAGTCCGCCTGCCGATGCAGGGGACACGGGTTCGTGCCCTGGTCCGGGAAGATCCCACATGCCGCAAAGCGGCTGGGCCCGTGAGCCATGGCCGCTGAGCCTGCACGTCTGGAGCCTGTGCTCCGCAATGGGAGAGGCCCGCGTACCGCAAAAAAAAAAAAAAAAAAGGGAGGGGAAAGATGGGATCCAGAGCACAAGTTGAGTAGTTAGCCTTTAATAGGAAAAAGGGTACTTCATCGCTAGAAAGCTAGTGTAGATATGGATTATTGATCAGTTTGTTGCTTTGGTGAGAAGGTGCTTGAACTCCTATATAATTGCTTGTTTTCTTAGTAAGGTCTTTAGCTGATGAGGGGATGGGTTAAGAGATTTTCATGTGTGGGGAAAATAACATTCTAAAATGCTTTCAGGGTTTTCAGGTAGTACTAATGTCCATAAAAATCTGTGGCCATGAATATGATTTAAAAGTGGGATTGGGATACATGTATATTTTTTTAAGAAGCAGTTTTCAGATACTTGGATACAGATGAGGATTTGAGTTCGATGGGGTTGGGACCTTTGCCAGGCAAGTATGATGAAGGGAGTTAAGGGTGTTATAAGGCTGTAGTTGTGGTAAGCCTAGAAATTAGACAAAATAAGGAAGGGAGTAAGGACATTAGGAAGTAGATAGCGAGAAGTGGTAGGGTCAGTGTCTTTGAATCTCAGTGACATTGAAGAGAATTGCCAGAGTAGGTGAGCTAAAATGATGAAAAGTTGTAGGTGCACAGGAGACGATGCTTAAAATACGGATTTTAGGAGTAGTGCAGTACACTGCAATGACAGGGTCAAGGGTATGACCATAAAGTAGGTGGCTTAGGTGGGGAAGGGTAATATTGGAAGCAAGGATGTTGAGGAAGTCAGAATCAAATGTGGTCTTATGTGCATGTTGAAATAGCCAAGAAATAAGCTGGGTAAAGAAGAGACGTGCTAAAGTCATTAATGAATGAGGAGGGACTTAGAGTTTCAAAACAGCAATAGGTGTGGGGAGGGGGCATCTATCCCTATTTCTTGGTCCTGAGGTACAAAGCATTGTGGGGGAAAAAATGGCTGCAGAAGAGTATGTATCAGTTTGTGAGGCACTGTGGTTCAGGCTTGAAGTTGAAGAGATAATCATAAAGGAGATTGGTTAAGATGAATTTAATGTTAGACTATAAGTACCAGAGGACCTAGTGAAATGTTACTTGTAGGGTAAGAATGTGACTAGTAGGGTGGGAAATTAGACCAGAGTAATAAATGTACATAGTTGTGTGAAAAGGACAGTCTGATGATGATAGCTGGGTAGCATAGGCAAACAGGTTGTGAGGTATGATGGTATTAATGTTAATAATCTGTTGGAGGGGTTTGAGTAACCTATTCAAACTGGAGATTACGAGGCTAGTGGGAAACTTTTTTCCTGCAGCAAGGTTAGCAAAGGCCTCCTTGGGGTAGGGGGTTATCTTTTCTTGTAACCTAACCTGGTCCCAAACCTGTGGGATAGGGCTGTCTTACCTGTAGCAGCCTCTTCTTGGCTGTATAGTGTTATGACAGCCTCATAGGCTTTATTAGTCACCACCCTGGGGTGTTATTAAGATAAAATGAGTGCTCAGCATGGTTCTTGACACTTAGCAAGGGTCCAGAGATGTTAGGTATTACCAAAATGAAAAACAACTTGACTCACCTTCTGTTATATTTGCAATTGGATTGTTAGTATTATGTAGGCAGGAAAACAGATAACACAATATATTGTCTAAGAACATTGGATTTTTGGAGTTAGACATGCTTAGGTTGGAATATTGACTCTAACACTTAACTATAGGATTTTGAGTAAGTCTCTTTTAACATTGGTTCTGAACCCTGGTTGCTGATCAAAATATTAACCATTGGAGTTTTTAAAAACATAGATGCCTCACATCCATTCCTAAACATTTTTAAGTAGGTCTGGGGTTGAGCCTCAGTTTCATCATGAATAAAATTGAGTAATAGCTTGTTGTTAAGGTCAAATGAGATGATGTTTATGAATAGTTTCTCACAGTATTGGACTCATAGTAAGTACTCAATTAAATAGGTTTTAAAGGTAATAATAAGTATTCATGGTCAAATGAATGTTAAGATCTCAAGAACTGAACCTTCCTTTTAAGTTTCCACAAGGCTTTCTCATATTTACATAAAGACCCCATCTGGTAGGTGATTCTCTGGTAGAGATTCATTTCAACATTTATTAGGCAGCTACTATATATGGACTGTTAAAACTCTATAGGATGTTCAAAGCTGAATAGAATACGTCTAGTACAAGTTTAGGCAAATGCAGTCAGGGCCTACTGAATGAGGTGGGGTGTAAAGGACAGAGTCCTGGATTAAAGATTGTAGGGATAAATGGGTTCCTCCCATCTGCGTATGACCTTTTTGAACAACTTCTGTAGGTCACTTGTTCCGTGGAAGAGAAAAATGAAACCCTAAGATATGAAAGACTTTGTTTTAATGATATCCAGTGTCCATATTTTATGACCATCACATTTTTCCTGCTTCTGAATCAGAGAATAAATGTCTGATAAGAAAGAGAAGGCCTTCTGAAGTTTCACATTATTTATATTCTCCATCAGGTCATAATACTATGGACTTATACTTGAATCTCCAGAACTTCTAATCTATTTTGGCACATAACAAACACTCAGTAAATGTTAGTTAAATTGAATCTAAATCTTTATCTTGTTTATGCACATGACTTGCTCTAATTTTTAGTACATTTTTTCATTTAAAAACCCTGTCTAAAAATAAACACAAGGGGGAAAATGTCTGTTTATTTAATTAGACAAGACTTACTTAATTGGAGCCAGAAGCTTAGGAGTAACCAAATGTTGAGTGTCTATAGGACAGACGGAATTTTATTTAATTGTGGTAAAATATAAATTGATATAGCATGAAATTTGCCCTTTTAACCATTACTAAGTATATAATTCAGTGACATTAAGTATATTCCAAATGTTTTGTGATCATCACCACTATTTATTTACAAAACTTTTAAGTCATCCTAATCAGAAATGTTATACCCATTAAGCACTAACACCCTTCTCCCCCTCCTCCCCAGCCCCTGCTAACTTCTGATCTACTTTCTCTGTGAATTTGTTTTTTCTACATATTTCTTACAAGTGGAATCATACAACATTTGTCCTTTTTGTATCTTATTTGTGCCTTATTTTACTTAGTTGTAGCATGTATAAGGACTTCATTCTTTTCATGGTGGAGGGGGGCTGTTTTTATCTGAACAAAGGTGGATCCCTTTTTTTGCCTTCTATCCTGCAGGGAAGACACATTTCTTAGACCACAGAAGGTCTTAGTATATGTTGTCACATTAAAGATGCTAGCCTGAGTATATGTAACTAGTTGTTTTAGATACCATGTTTTCTTGGCATCTTACCAGAGTACTTGAGGAAGTAGGAAGTACAGATAACATTCCATTGTCAGCTTCCCATATCAAAATGTATGAGCATCTGGTGGGCTGAACCACAAATAATGGGTGGAGGCTTAGGTACCACAGAGTAGGACTTGACATGCACATCAGGTGTTACTGATTGATATTTTAGGAGACATTACTGGTTTATGGTCATAGCACAGTCTCCCTGCTATCTCTTCCTCCCTGCCTTCCTTTCAGTTTTCTGTATTCCAAGCTTAAACCTACAAGGAAAAATGTTTTGTGGTGACCCTGCAAAATTAAGCTTTACTTGTAATTTTTTACCAGGTTCTTCGCTAGAGGCTGTAACCACCTGTGAACTCTGTAAAGAGAAGTTGCAGCTTAACCTGGAGGATTTTGATATTCATGAACTACATAGAGCTCATGCAAATGAACAAGTTAGTATATTTTGCCTAATTTACCTTGGTAAGTGTCTATTCTGTGCTTAAAGGACAACTCTTGAAGAAAAGATTAAATCATGGTCAGAAAACCTGCATTAAAATAATAATAACAATTTTCTTTTACTGCATTAGGTATGATTTTATAATTTTTCTTTACTTTCCTATAACTTTTTGAAAGTAAAAGGCAAAAAAGCAAGTCACAGGTTTAAAATTATTAAGGTAAAATTTATTATATGGTTGCTAAATAAAAGTGAAAATAAAGGCTTACTAAGTGGTCCCCAAATAGGCATGCTAAGAGCTGTCTTAGTTGTGAATACCTCTTAGTCCTAGAACATTTTTGAAACAGCAAGCCCTGGATCTTCATCCTCTTTCTTCCTTCCTTCCTCCCTCCATCCCTCCCTCCGTCCCTCCCTCCCTTTTTTTTTTATTTTAGGAATAGCTTTTTATGTGCCTATCTGCCCCCATGTTCTTCTATCCTGGTTCCCTCCACTCTCCTCATTCCTACCTCCAACTTTGTTGAACAACTTATGAAATCTTTTATTCCAAGTTCACATTGTTTATAAACCTCTTTCTTTTAGTATTTGTGTCATTATAGTCTATTCATATAATGAATAATCTGATCTTAAATTTTTTTTCACATATTCTCATTTCTCAGATTTTGGGGTATTATTGATAACTGTTTTCCTCCTAATAATGATTTGGTCACTAATTTTTGTTTCTTGAAGCTTTAAATTTAAAAAAAATTTTGAGATGCTTAGATAGGTAGAATGAAGAGTTCAATATTTTCCCCCTTTTCTTCCTCCTAAAGGAAAATTCTGGGGAAAAAAGATGTTAAAGGAGATTACAAGGATGACTCAAGAGCCGTACTCTCCAAGTGTGCTTAGCATAATTGTTATAAAAAGAGATATGATGGTGGGAGAATGCATGAATGCTTGAAAAACACTTTAAGGAGTAGTGGACACCCCCCTTTTTTTGATAGAGGTAAAGTTCACATAAACATAAAAATCATTTTAAAGTGAACAATTTGGTATATTTGCGATGTTGTGCAACCACCACCGCCATCTACTTCCAAGACACTTTCATCTCTCCTAAAGAAAATCCTGTACCCGTTAACCAGTTGCTCCCTGTCCCCTGCTTCCTTCGGCAACCTCCAACTGCCTTCTGTCTCTCTGGATTTATCCATTATGGACATTTCATATAAATGGAATCAAGCAACATGATCTTTTATGGATACCCTTTACTTTTAAAATGTGGGAATAATGAATACCCTTTGAAAATCTGATTAAAATCACACTCCTAACAAAATATACAAAGACACAATATTTGTATATGATTTAAGGGATTCCCAGATCCTTTGAAGCTGATTACTTAGATCCAGGTTAAGATCACTGATTTAATTAATGAACCATTAAGGCAATTGGTGTAGCATAGATGCTATTCATACTAATTATTACTTTATTCTTTAATGAGCCACTTGTCCAAAGAGAATAGTGTTTTCAGCAAGGAGTTGTCTTCAATCCCTAAGGAGTCTTTCTAGATAGCTGAGCATTGGTATTTTAAAGAACGGGGGAAAGAGTATGTAAAAATAGAATGATGGAAAGAAAAAAATTTTTTTTTCATCTTCTCAAAATGAGAGTAGGTTTCAAAGGATGGTTTTCTTCTGCCATTCTTCCTTCTCTAGGTGCTCCATCATGTCTCTTAAAGGTGGTTCTTTGGCATCTCGATTCAACCAGGAATGTTTTCATGGTTCTCCAAGGATTTAATGACCCACAATCTTAAATAATTTAAGTGTGAGGAAATATTAGGTGGAGTCATTGTAAAAGCAATGACAGTCTTGATTAAGCTTCCTGGCTTTAACTTCTTTGTTCTGTGTGAATCTTGGATTCTGGGGGCCCAAGAACTACTCTCATTTGAAATGATTAGTTTAATGCAGTTTATTTCCTCATTGTCCAGTAGCTTCAATTTTTTCAAGGTGATAAGCATTAAAATTTTAAAAAAAATTTTGAGGACATAAATTTATTTCCTTTTAAGTTAAAAATAAGAAAAGTAAGTGAAGATTCAAAGAAAGTTTTAATAAGTCAATTTCAGATTTCTTGAATGCTCTGTGGAATCTGATAACCAGTTACTTGCTGAAGTTGTTACTAAGAACATATAGTTCTTAACTTCAGATGAGTTAATTGCCAAAAATGGTACAACTTACAGGTAGTTCACTATATAAAAATTACAGGACAGATTAGGTTTTTAATAACACGATATTCATGACTTGTATTCTTAGCTTCAGAACAACAAGTTTGAACCAAAGGACAGTTTTTACCCACTATAAATTTCTATGTGAATGATACGAAGAACAGTTACTCTATTACCTTTATTAGTTCATTTTTATATTTGCTGTTGCCTTAAAGTTAATTATATTATGTAATAGACACTTGACCCATTTGACTAGGTTTTAATTGTATAATTTATTGATTTAGCTATAGATGAAATGATAATTTTAAGTAAACATTTGTAGCCATTTGTGTTAATAAAATCTGTTAGGCACATTATAACTTGATAGAACCAGAGCATTCGTTCTACCATCAAATGAGTTAAAAGTCCCACTTTTATATAAATTACATAAAAGAAGACTGTATGAAAATAAAGAGGATATTCACACACCTATTTGTACACCTTACAGCATTAGTAAAATTATGAAATTATGGAGCGTGACTTTTTATTTCTTGGTTTAATGGATGATGCTGTAGACTGGATATGAATACATTTCCTCTAGTTTCTCAGTATACTTTGGATGTCGATCTCTTGTCTATTAATTTTTCATTCTCCATATTCTTTTTCTCGTTTGCTTCCCTTTTGAAGGCTGAGTATGAGTTTATCAGCTCTGGTCTCTACCTAGTTGTGTTACTGCACTTGTGCGAACAAAGCTTTTCTGATATGATGGGAAATACGAATGAACCAAGCACACGTGTCCGAGTAAGTAACCTTGGAGCAGGGGAAAAGGGAGGATGTGATGCAACAAGTGTTTGCTTTGGAAAGCAGATTGTTTTATATGTTCACAGTCTATTTCCTTTGGGGAGTTCTTAGATTAAAATCTTTCTTAAAATTAAAGGTACTGTAGATTTAATAGAAATTGCTGTCTGCCTTACCTCTTTATCAAGCAGCCTTATTTTCTCATAAAGCTGTTTTAGAAAAAGAAGTAATTTTCTAGCTCTTGAAGGTGATTGGAATATATTTCAGTGAAAAACGGGGACAGAATTGGAAGTACTCAGGAAAATGCTCTTTTTAATTAAAAAACAAAAACAAGACTCAGTATTTTAACTTAGAAACCTGAAATTGAACTCCAAAAACTGAAAGAGTATGGGAAATTAACTTCAATTTATTTGTTACTATCTTGTAAAAGATTACCAGTGTAGTAGTTTTTAAGCCTCCATATTTCAAACTACTTAAGATCTGGACTATTTGGTATTTAGTCTATACCCTATTGCCTTAATTTAACACTTAAGCTAGCTGTTTGTTAGGTATTTTTAATTAAATGGTACTGTTATGGAAATTTATACTGCCTTGCCCATTTTATGTAGCGGGGACTAGAGTCTATATCTCATTACAGTAGCATTCTGAACACCTAATATCTTGAAATGTGTTCATAAACATATCCTTCAAACTATTTTTTATATAGATATTCTCTTGGTGATGAAAATTTAGTAGAGTTTATGGTGAGGTATAATGTTTCCATTATATTTTGAAAATTATCAAATAGCCAATTCAGTGTATATGGGTAGAACATTTTTCTGTAATCATGTAAACACTATTCCTGTGAGCCAGTTGACAGATTTATTATCATTCAGAGAAAAGAGAACGAACTATCAAGAGCTTTCAGAATTTGAGCAAAGAGCTCTTGATTTCTAAACAGGCAACTTATCTCTTCAGAGTGAACGAACCATATGAAGTATATAATAATATGTGTTGAATTCATGCCTTTGTAAAAGGTATACACAAGTTAATATTAAAGTGGAAGTCACTTTTATGTTTTTTTTAAAAGTACGGAGTCAAATGTAATACTTCTAGGCAGGAAAATACTGATTTATTATTTTAATTGACCACTAAAGTTCACTTGGGTCCAAAATGCAGAGGTTTAATTTTTTTTCTCCATAGTTTTTGGAAGTATTATATCAATGCAAGAAGACAGCGGTATTCATAGAATATTATATCTGCTCCCAATTTCTACATGATTAATATATGATTTTTACATAGGTAATAATGATTATATAAGACATTTAAAAAAATCATATCCTTAAGCTTGTAAGTTTTGATGTGGGGGGAGAAAGACCCCCTATTTAGAGGCTTAAAATTATGTTTGACTTTTAAGTAGAAATGAATCTCTTATACTGATTCTCTCTTTAGATCCATTTGCTACATTTAAACTACTGTATTTCTTTCTGCATTGTTTCTAGTTTATTAACCTTGCAAGAACTCTTCAGGCACATATGGAAGATCTCGAAAGTAGGTGGAATTTCCCCTCCCCAGACTTGTTGAATTTACTTTTGCAAATTAAACCCACAGAGCAAAACCTAAGTATATATATACTCTTTCTACCAAATTAGAGCTTCATTTATAGGCTTAATAATACCAGAATAATTGATTTGGGAAAGATGGGTTGGGCAACTGACACTAGTTTTTTAAGAGCCTATTTTTTAAAAATTAAATTAATTTTAATGTATGGAAGGGTGTTATTATAACCATCGGTATTTTATTTAAAATAAAAAAATATATTTAATCACCTTAATTTTAACACTTTTAATGTTAACACTTTTTTAAAAGAAGACGTTTAACTACTAATCAAAACACACTTCTTTAGATTTTTTGTGTGTGAAATTTTACTTGTTCTTTAGCTTTGTTAGATCATAAAAGGTGTTCCCTGGGTTTATATAGTTCTAGGAATATAATGGTGAAAGAGTCCTAATTCTGAGTCCCTAACAGAAGCCATAGTTTTTTGTTTTTTTTTTGCTCCTTGTTCAGGTCCTCATGGACCTTTAATAGGCAGCCAGCTCCGCCAGCAGCTCCAATCTCTTAAGATCACGTTCCAGCTTTAGGACTTCTGCCTGGGCTCCTATGTGAAGGCACTTAATGCCCAAATCTTTACAGGCATCTGCACAGCTTACCCTCTTCTCAAAGTCCTACAACCTCCAGGGTGCTTCATACCAGGTGGGCACAGATATTGGTGGCTCTGGAACAGTTCCTGGGAATCCAAGATTACCCTATTGTGCTTTTTCACCCAAAGCAACTGGCATCCCATGATCAGATTCCAGTACACTCTTTGAAGTGTTTTTATATATGTATTCTCCAATTGATTATCTTCTGTACTCATCTTCAGAATACTTGGACTGTTAACCTGTAGTGTGCATAATATTTTTACCTCTAGAGAAAGCTTAGCATCCTTTGAAGTAAGGTTTTTTTTTTTTTTTTAAGTTTTAAAAGGATTAGAGGTACAACTAGGTAATGCATTTTCACAATTTTAGTTAGTATGTGTGGAAATGGTATATAAAGGAATCAAATGGTATAATAAAGTGGGACTTCATTAGTGTAAATCTTTTTTTCCTTCATTCCTTCTTAGTTCAGATCCATCATGTTAGCTAGTACAAAGATTAGTTCTGTCTTGTAAATTATAATTGATACTTTGTCAAATGTGATGAGAGTAATTTGTTGCAGTGTACATTTTCCCCAGATTGCTTGTTTTTTTTAACTAACATTCTCATTTAGAATTTAGTTTTCTAAACATATAGGAGGGTCTACTCCCGACCTGTGAATGAGAGGGAAACGGTGAAGTTGAAATATATACCCAGACTCAACTGAGAGTGAAAGATGTGGGTGCTACAAGTTAACTTCTAAGTACTAGAGTATTAATACATTCTGAAAATTGGTTCTGACTGAATTTTGTTCTGTAGAGTTAATCCAGTAGAAAACATGAGAAATTCTCTGAAAAGCTATTTTATTTTTTAGTTTAACATTTCTCCATGATATTGCATAAAAGTTAAGCATAGGATTTACTCTTCATGAGCTAAGTATATGCTTGATATTTATTTAAAGTGGATTTTAAATTTCTGCAAGGTAAATATATGGAGATTGAAGTTTCATCTATACGTGTTGCATAATTTTTTCTTGTTGATTCCATTTGCTGGTTGCCCTTAAATTGTCCAGTATTAAATACAAGAAGAGTGTACATTTAACCTTTCTGCCCTTGATAATAGGGGAAATGCTGGTAGGATGTTTAGTGAACTTCTGTTTTCCTTCACATGCAGACAGTTACATAGTCTTGTACTTACTGTGTCCTTCTTAAAGACGTTCGTGAAAGTTTTATATTAAACTCTTGAGCCACTAATGACTTTAAAATAAATTGAGGTCGGACATGTTGCAAGAGTGATAAATTTCTGACAACGTGGAGGCATAGGAATAACCTCAACAAAAGGTTTTTACTAAATCCAATTATATTAACTTAGGCTGTGTCTATATAAAGCTTTTTTGACTAACTAGAGCTTTTTCTTGGCATTGTATAGACATAGCTCTGATGTAAATTTCAAGAACACCCATAACCTGTTATTCTATGTACATTTTTTTTCATTCTCATCGGATACATCAAACATGCAGCGGTAATAAGCCAGATTCTACTCAGGTGTGTGAGAGCACTTGCCTTAAGTTTACTCTTTCTTTCTCTAGTGTATTTCTCATTAGCTACTATGAACACAAATTGATCCCAGAAACTTTTTAGATGTTCTTGAATCACATTTTTAAACATTTTCATTTTAATAAAAACTAACAGAAGAAAAAGTGTCGGGGTGGGAGCGTTGTAGACGGGCCTCACCCACAGTCAGACCGCCCTTAACCCTGGCATATACTACATTGGGGTTTTTATCGTACAAGTCATTGCTGTTCTGGCTTCATACTTACACTTCCATTCTCATCCCCCTTAAAATCATTCTTGATCATCCTGTTTTCTTTCAACAGCTTCAGAGGATGATTCTGAAGAAGATGGAGACCATAACAGAACATTTGATATTGCCTAACTTCGTATGAGACAAATGGATGATCTGTGAACAGTGTTTATTAAAACTGGCAATTAAGTATGAATTAATTTTCTAGGGAAATACCTATTGAATACATTTACTGTCTATATATATATATAGAATGAAAAAAATATATATATATACACACACACATATTATGCATGTATATATATGTTCATTCTCAAGTGTTGCTGAATTAAAATTCTGCTGGGCCTTTTAACATGGCCAGTGAATCTGATGTTTATAAACTGGTAATTAAAAGTATTTTTCTTTTAGATGAGTGGGGAAAGTGTTACCCTTGTTTTAAATATCTAAGCAATGCTGACAGCCCTTTTTTGTGTTGTGATTACTGTAGTTATATTTATGAAAAAAGGTTGGTGTTTTAGTCTCGTTAGTGAAAAAAGTGGGACAAAGTATGCTTTTAGAATAAATTGCCAAATGGCACCTAATTATTTTTCTTTTTAAAATGCCTTAAGTTGCGGTCTCATTTTCATAATCATTTGCTTCCAGTGTTTAAAAAAAAAAAAAGAATGGGGAGAAAGTTAAGAAGAGCATTCATTATATTAGGTTTCCAAATTTAATTTGAATTCTAAATTCACTTAGCAATGGTCTAATTTTTAAAATATATAAAGTGTACAAATGGATGAATTTTTGTATTGATGTGCAAAATGCAGATTATATTTGATAGGCCATAGTATGTAGATATTCCTTTTAGGAATATTACAGCTGTAAATTATATCAGAATTGCCAGTCAGATGCTATTTGGTTAAAAATATTATTGCAGTCTCAAGTTAAATATTTTTAAATCCCACATTCAGAATTTAAAACACTGGTTTTCAATGTGTTTTTTAGTGTTGTCACTTCTTTATAGATAAATATGATATAAATAACCTGTTTGGATCCTGGTCGTTTTTAACTGTTCCTTGGTAATTCTAAGCATTTATTTGATGACTTAATATTTTTCACTACCTTTAGAGAAGAGATGAACATTAACTGTTCACCATACTGTGGTCCTGAGTTGTGTATATGTCCATAACACTGTATATTTTCTCTGTCAACACCCTTAGGATACACTTAAAAACGCCTTCAGGCGGGTTTCAGGTTAAATAAAGTCTTTTGTCCAGCTACTTTTTCAGAACCCAAATAGAAACCATGTAATTTCTCACATGTGAATCAACAGTTTGCCCACATTCAGTCAGATTGTTGGTCTTAATGTAAAACTTTGGCTTGAAATAAAGTGCATACTGATTGATTTACTTTATAGTTTGAAATGTTTCCTTTTAAACTGGTGCTCAAAGAAGCCTTCAAACCTTATAGCCAAGAATCTTATTTTAAATCCCATTTTATATGAAATATAATTGTTTGTTTCTAAAATATTTGTTCAGCTTCTGCCTGTCAACTTCTGCCTGTTATCTTTGCGTTGCCTTCCTTAAAGCAGATATGCAAAATTTAAGGATGTCAGTATCAATATCTATTCTACAGGTCTTTAGGGATGCTTTGAATTTGAAACATTTATGCTTTTAATAGAACTCGGCATGAAAATGTAGTGTCTTAACCCACAGAATTTTTTATTTAAAAATTTTAAGTAAATGGTAGAAAACATTCCATTGGTGTGCATACAATTTATTTATGGTTTTGCTATATTAACTGCTAAATGACAGATACAGACAGTGGCTTGGGCTTTATAGTATTCTTGTAGTTCCTTTGTACCACTTAGTATTTCGATATTGTATTAGCTTCATATGTCCTGTAAATGTGAATTAGAGGGAATAAGAAAAATCTTTCATTGGTATCACCTTTAAATTCTGAACAAAATAGAGACCATATACTACTCAAGTTCCTAAGAATTTAAGATTGCAAATTCCTAAGAAAATGTAGTTAAAAGTAAATGGCAGCTAAAAGTAATGATAGTAGTAATAGTTGCCACCAAACATAAGAATTACATTGTCATTATTGGGTAGAACCAAGATGTTTGAAGAAAGCAGTTTATACATTCTGAATATAAACAGGCATGCTAATGTTACTGTTAATATTAAAAATAAACAAAGACTTGAATGATTCAGTTATCTGTTGACCACCAAATAGATACAAGGGCCTACTACAGATGTTCAGATATATAAAGAGAATTAAGATTTAGCACTGCATTACCGGGGTCTTTAAGGACTTGTTTGAAAATAAAATCAAACATGGAAAATTAAATCAGTTAAAACAGCCATTTTGGTAGAGCTGTCATTATTAGGTAGAAGTTATTGAAATGAACTGAAGAAAATTAGTTATGTAGAAGTGGAAGGGGAGACTCTAGAGCAGCATTGTCCACTGAAACTTTCTATGATAATGGAAACGTTCTACAATTTGCATTGCCCATCGTGGTAGCTCCTAACTGCATGTGATCTGAGCATTTGAAATATGGCTAGTGCAATTGAGGAAATGAACTCTATTTAAATAGCCACATGTGGCTAGTGGCTACTGTATTAGATACTGTAAAGATCTGTGACTGATAGTTACAAAGCTTTAAGGAACAGATGGCTGGCCTCAGTTCTTAAAGGAGTGGTAGAATTTGAGTAGCAAAAGCAGTAAGGAATTCCAGTCTAATGTTCACGATTAGCAGCACTATTAATACTCTATCAGTAATAAAATAGACATCTCAATCAATACACAAAATCTCAAAGCTTTTACAGAGCATAATTGTTTTGTAATAACACCTAGTATAAAATTGTTTTGTAATAACACCTAGTATAAAATTTGTTTTTTAGTACCACACAGTCACATTATTCACTTTGCAGTTATTCATGTCTCATTAAGAAAACTGCCATTAATTGTGACGAGGGATGTTTCTGATTCATGGTGGCCAGTGGAAACAGATGGCGCAAGCTAGGACTTCGTTGCCACTGGTCAACCTTGAGAGATAGTGTCTCTATCCATATGAAAAGTATTCCCATAAGATGATAGATGGGATATGCATTAGGGAGAGAGATTACTTTCCTCGCACTTCCAAGTTTCTACGTAAAGTAAATACAATTTTATGTGAAGTACATACATTATCTTTTCTAATACTGTGTTTTTAAGTTGCTAAAGAAATCATAGTTTCAGCTTTCTTCCATTTTCATTTTTTACCCCCCAAATAATTATTTCACCATTGTCTTAAAATGTACAATACACATACTGAAAACTTTGAACATGATCACTACAGTAGTATTTAGTTTTTCTCTGCAGTTATTGCTTACACAGGTTTCATGTCATTGAATGATAAACTTCATCAAGGCTTGGGGAACATGAGATATATAGGAACAGATATGGCGGTAGGAGAAAAATCCTTGAAGGACACTATGACCCAAGAGTTACCCGCAATGCCAGCCTCCTCTACACCTTCCTGGTATGGCTGTAATATTTTTTTGTTTCACAAAATTTATTAAATCTTACTGAAATTCTGACCATTTATGATCAGTGCTAAATACTGTTTGTTTGTGGTCCAAAACAGTGTTCTAAAAGTACTGAAACTGTATAATTACATGGCATATGGGGTGTTAAAAATCTGTAAAATTTTCTACATGTAAATCATGAAGATGGAAATATTAGAGGAATTATCAGAGTAACCAGCATAAGTGATATCTAAATATAGAGAATCTATTTTAAGGTCAGGTTTATTCTCCATATCTTATTGATAAAGGAGCAAGACCATAGAAATTACTAAAGGCCTAGTGATTGCTAAAATTAGTGATAAGTAGAAGTTTTCTTTTTTTTTTTAATTCAACTATAAACCAAGGTGGTTCAACTCACTCTGGGAGGCAAGATGGAGGAGGTAAAACAAGTAGACTGGGTTTTGTTTTTGTTTTTTAACCTGATTTACTATTAATACTTGGGCTTTAAGCTTTCCTTCATTCAAGTGAAAGGTGCATTTGGGGAGGTGGTTAAAACCATTAAATTATATCTAAGATTATTCCTTTTTAAAAAACTTTGTTCTTATAATCCTAAAGATTAATTTTTGTCACAGTCAGTGATTACATGAGAATAGTGAACGTTACTGGAATTAGGTAATACATCATAAAAACCATGATTTTCATTGTTAGGTTTTATATTAAAATCTTGCATAGGAATCACTGTCAAGGTATTTGATGTCTTAATCTGAGATTTCCAGAACCTTAGTCGAATTGAACATCATATTCGTTTTCCTCTGCAACTACTAAAACACAGTCATCATTATAAGGTGATTGGGGTGCAGCTGAAAAAACTGTGGTGAAACCAGAATCCAAACTTCTTTTGTACAGGAACCAAACGACTGCTCCCAAAACTGTCAAAATTACTGTGCTAGCAATCACCAAAGCTGATATCAAAATGTGGTTATCTGAAAAGGAAAAGACAAAAGAAAATATGGGAAATCAGGATACACAAGTTGATAGCATTGCTTTTTGGGGAGCACAAATATAGTTTCATCACATAAATATTTCACTATTTTGAGAATTTCTCACATTGGTTAGAAAAACAGTTACATACATTTATTCCTATCAAGATTTATATTTCTTAGCTTGAATAATTGCCATACTTCAAAATTTGAAATAAACTTTGCAGGTCTCCAGTCTACTTTAAGATCCTAAAATGGAAATTATCCACACTGAAGGTTTCACCATATATTTCTGTTTGCATATATCATTTTATGTTATCCAGAGTATACATGTGCATAGCTTAAAATTCATAGTTTTACAGGGTATGTAATGATAATACTGTGTTCTTCCTGCCCTACTACTACTCACCCTTAATTACCATTCCTCAAAGCAGCCACTCTTGTTACTTGTTATTGGCCTCCATGCATGCTTATACTGTTCTCTGATTTTAAAAATTTTTTTAATTGTAAAATATGCATAACAAAATTTACCATCTTAACCATTTTAAAGTGTGCAGTTCAGTAGCATTAAGTACATTTACATTGTTGTGCTGTGTCACAACCATTCAACTATAGAACTTTCATCTTGCAAACCTGAAAACTGCTATTAAATATTAAGTCCCCATTCCCCCCTCTCCCCGGCCCCTGGCAACCACCATTCTACCTTCTGTCTCTGAGGCTGACTACTCCAGGTACCTCAAATAATTACAGCCATACAGTATTTGTCCTTTTGTGACTGGCTTATTTCACTTAGCCTAGTGTCCTCCAGGTTCATGCATGTTGTAGCGTGTCAGAATTGCCATTTTAAGGCTGAATAATATTCACACTATGTATATACCATGTTTTACTTACCCATTCATCTGTAGATGGACACTTGATTTGGTTCCACCTTTCTGGCTACTGAGAATAATACTGCTATAAACATGGTTGTTTAAATTCTGTTCAAGTCCCTGTTTTCACATCTTTTGGGTATATACTGGATCATATGGTAATTCTATGCTAAATTTTTGGGGAAGCTCCTGTACTGTTTCCACAGTGGATGCACCATTTTACATTCCCATCAGTAGTGCACAGAGGTTCCACGGTCTCCACATTCTTGTCAACACTCGTTATTTTCTGTTTTTTCCTTTTTGGTTTGGTTTGGTTTGGTTTTGGCTGCACCGTGCTGCATGTGGGATCTTAGTTCCCCAACCAGGGATCAAACCCGTGCCCCCTGCAGTGGAAGCACAGAGTTTTAACCACTGGACCACCAGGAAGTCCCTCTGTTTTCTTTCTTTTGTTTCCTTCCTCCCTCCCTCCCTCCCTCCCTTTCTCTTTCTCTCTCTCCCTTTCTTCCTCCCTTTCTTCCCTTTCTGTTTTCTTTTTGATAGCCAGCTTAATGAGTGTGAGGTGGTGCTTTGCTTGATTTTTTTTAGATGTTATATTCATCTTATAGAAGAGTTGAGGATTTAACTCTCCTATATACACATGAACCCAGTGAACCCATAAACACTCCTTTCCTCTTCTGTCATAGCAAGCTCCAAACTGAGTAATCATGATATTAACGAAAAAATAAGGGCAAAAGAATAGACATTTTATAAAAGAAGATATCCAAATGGCTAATAAATGTGTGAAGGTGCTCAATTTCATTTTTCATCAGGGAAATTAAAATAAGATCACTCGGACTTCCCTGGTGGCGCAGTGGTTGAGAGTCCGCCTGCCGATGCAGGGGACACGGGTTTGTGCCCCGGTCCGGGAAGATCCCACATGCCGCGGAGCGGCTGGGCCCGTGAGCCATGGCCGCTGAGCCTGCGCATCCGGAGCCTGTGCTCCGCAACGGGAGAGACCACAACAGTGGGAGGCCCGCGTACCGCAAAAAAAAATAAAAATAAGATCACCCTACATACCCATCTGAATGGCTAAAATTTGACAAGACCATCATCGGATGGACGTAGAGCAAATGGAACTTGTCAGCAGGAATGTTAACATGGTTCAACCACTTTGAAAAATTGATTATTTCTAATAATGCTAAACATTATTAACTACCCTATGGCTGTTTCACTCTCAAGGAAAATGAGAACAAAGGTCCAAAAAAAAAAAAGTATGAGAATGTTCACAGTGCGATCACATTCATGCCAGACTAATAATGATCAAATATCCATAGACAGGAGAATGGACAAATTATGGTGTGTTTATAAAGTAGTATATGCAGCAATAGAAAAAGTACAATATATATGTGCAGCACTGATGAATCAAAATACTCTGACGGAAAAGTTACATTAACGTGAAGTTCAAGAACAAACAACTCTAACCTATGATGATAGAAATCAAAAGTGGTTGCCTGTAGGGTGGATGCTGGTAGGGTGGGCATTTATTGGGAGGGGCATGCGGGAATTTTGTGGTGTGATGGAAATGTTCTATCTCGATTTGAGTGGTGGTTATACAGGTATATACATAAGCAACCATCAAGGTGTACATTTAAGATGCTGCATTTTATCCTCAGTTAATTACACATCAAAAATATGGAGGTTAAAACTATGCTACACAATTTGCAAAAATTTCGTAACTGGCATTCATACATTATTTTTGGGGATGCAAAATGGTACAATTTCTCTGAAACTATCAGTATTGATCAAAGTTATATATTCATGTTCAATACGGCAGTTATATTTCAGGGAATCTAAGATAAACATGTTTTTGTGCAAGGTGATTCATTCCTTGCAGCACTGTAATAATAGCAAATGTTTGGAAACAACCCAGTAGGGGTCTGGAGTTAGTAAATAATTGAATGTATCTATACAATGGAAGAGTATACAGTTGTAAAAAAGAATGAAGATTTATCTATAGGTAATGATATGGAGAGATATTTAGTGAATAAAAAAGTAAGTCATATCTCTTAATTTGTTTATGTTGGCAAAAGAAACACTAGACATTTAAAGAAGAAACTGAATTAGTGCCCAATAAGGTTCAGGTAGAATAGGATGGAAGGAGGCACAGTGGGAGGAGACAGTTTTCAGTGTTTGCCTTATATAGTTTTGCTTTTGGAACCATGTAAATATATTACCTGTTCCTTTCCCAAAAAATACATTTAGTAAGCCCTAAGACAGACTCTTCATGAACTGTAATTACAACTATAAGAAAAAAATTTTTTAACAAAAGATGCAGTCATTTTCCACAAAAACAGATAATGGAGCAATGAGGAGATAGAATTTGGTTTTAAAAAAATGTTCATTTCATACATAACTTGCAGATATATTTAAAGTGTCAAGTCTTTCTGTATTCTTATAAAAGTTGTTCTACTTTACACTGTCATATAATTAAAGAGGTCTTCAGTACTACTTTAATATGCTAGAATCTTAATATATTCTTTCTTGTGGGAAAAATTTAACAAAAGACCATACTTACCTGATAAATATTTCTTTTCATATGGGACTAGAATACAAAAGAAAATCATAATTTAAGCATGCCTTATTCGAAGAATGCTTCTAAACACTTTCAAAGTAGTTTAAAACGAACCCTTTAATAGCTTAGTATTACCCATATTTCTGTTGCTTGGTCATGTGTCTGTATTATCTGTTTTGAACTCAGTTTTTTTAAAAAAGGATGTAGAGAGGTAAAAACTCATTAGCTCAGTTGGTGGAAAAAGAATAAGGGAACTCAAGAAAAAGACAGTGTGATGAAGTGAGGGAAATAAGAGGATTTGGGTTGGAAAGTCTGTAGAAACAGTAAAAGTATACAATTGTGACCTTACCTTGGTAGTACAGACTTGCTCACGATTTCTGATGTTTTGAAGTTATAGTTTAATTAAAAATTTGGCTTATATAATGGTGCCCTGAGGCATAGTATATGAAAAGAACCAACTTTCTAAAAATTCAACAAATATTGGAAGTCAAATGCTACTACCATAAAAGTGTGACTGATCAGTCAAAAACCCTGCTGAGGCAAGTTAAAAAAAAAAATTGTATGTAGTTCCAGATGTAAAGAAAGGAAGTAATCGGAGGCAGACGTATAGTTTTGGTTTGCAGTTGGAGTAGAAGGGGGGAATATTAAGGATGCAATGCGGGAAATGGCTGTTTCTGTCTTGTTTCAAGCAACCCAAAATCGTATTTTGAAATTTAAATGTCTTTAGTGAGAAAACAATTCTTTCTAAAACATAAAAGAACTGTCTAATGTTTAACAATAATATGAAAATATTTTGGGACAGGATAATTTTGTTCATTAGAAAGCACTGTGATATGTGAGAAAAAAACTTATACTTTAATCCAGAGTAAATTATAAACTAGGATGCAATTTTTCTTGGCCTAATCAAAGATGTCCTTGAATCAAATTCTTTGTACGCTAACATTAGAATTCTGGAATCAGCCATGATTATTTTTCACCACTTCCACTGTTTAACCAAATCACAAAGAGGCTATTATAATTCCTTTGAACAACATAAGAAATTTTTGACTTCTTAGAAGCTCTAAGAATAAGCAGATAGAATAAAAGTATGCCTGGTTTATGGATTACATATTTGACTTCCAAGAGTCTTGGGAGCAAACCAACCCAGTATCTTCTGAAGTCTTACTTCCTCTTTATATTGAGGCACACATCACAAAGAAAATTATTTTAAAACCAGCCCTATTTTCCCCACCTCTCTTAGAATGGAAAAAGGCCTTCAATTATACTTACTAGCTGCTTTACAAAGGGTTCCTTCCACAGAAGAAACTTCACAATTTCCTTTTTTCCAATCACCTGTCTTGGTGTGCAAAAAGGCACAGGTGTCAACTAGATCCTCGCCATCTTCTTGGTCTGACCACTTAACAAATGTCATATTTGACTTGTCAAACCACTTGAAGCTGTCATCTGTCAGTTAAGGAAAATTTTTAACATTATGACAGTATAAAATGTGTTAAAAGAAAGTCAAAGAAAGGGTCTAGCTTTATTTTTTTTAAACTTTTTGGCCACGCCTCATGGCTTGTGGGATCTTAGTTCCCTAACCAGGGATCGAACCCGGGCCCTCAGCAGTGAAAGCATGGAGTCCTAACCACTGGACCACCAGGGATTTCCTGGGTCTAGTTTTAAAGGTGGGAAGTTACTAAGATAATGTCTGGTCTAAACTTCTGATTGTAGGATTTAAATTAGAAGGAGGAACATATCCTGTACACAGGCAAAAGATACTGGTTCAAAAAGGTTCTGAAGAAGATCCCATTTGTGATTAAAAAATATATATAATTTTCATGAAGAAATAGTCAAGAAAATAGTTAAAATGTTAATGGTAACCTTAGTAATTTCATTTCATTTTGAAAATTATGTACTTTCTATTTTCAACAGTGACAGTAAATACATTTACATAGTATTACCCTGACAGTTGTCTATCTTTATCCTATTGTTGACACTAGTACCAATTTTTATTACCCTACCATATTACAGAAATACTGAGTCTAGAACCATATTTTAATCCAGATGAAAGAATCAACTTTAACTTTCATATGTGACACACATTGAGCTGCTCAGGGGAAAGCTGTGGTACATGGGTGCATACTGAAAATACAATCCCTGGAAACCACAGGAAATAGCGAACTACAGAATTGAAGAATCTAAAAGAAAGTTATCAGTTTTACTAACATTAAGAAAAAAATGTAAGAAACAATTTAAGTATAAATATCACTTACCATCTGTGTCAAAAAACATGCCTAATAGGATATCATCTGGGCCTTTCCATTGCTTTTGCAAAGTATCCAGTATAAAAGCATTTTCTTCTTCATTATGTATGCTTATCATGTCTGCTCCTGAAATTATTTTAGGGAGAGGAAATCAGCATGTTCCCCAAATCAGTGAAAATCACATGAAGTATATACAAATTATACATTATTATAATACATTATATTTTACATCCTTTTAAAAAATTAAGCTTGAAAATGTCATGCACATTTCTGAAGAGACAATATACTCATGAGAAAAGTAAAATGATAATGTGATAAACTGAACAGAATCATACTTTTTATTTCATTCACTTAGGGTTAGTAATCTCGTAAACAACACGGAAAGAAAACATCATGGGAAGGCTGGAGCAGTAGAACACACTTCCTGCATCTCAACTTTTCACTGCCCCTTCCTCTAGCAATCATGGCCCCTCCTGCCCTCAGTTCACAATTATAGGGAGGAGTAGCTCTGACCACACTGAGGAGAGCTGAAAACTACCAGGGCAACTTGCCAGAACAGTCCCAAGACCTAGTGAAGTTCAAGTAACAAGCAGTGTCTGACCTGCCTCACTTAACTGGCCACCATGTGCCTGCTGCCTGAAGCCTATGCCTTCCCATATTTTCCTCTGTGGTCGCCCTTAGGGAAGTTCTGGTTAGGGAAAGTGATAAAGGAGGTCCTTGGTCCTTGTTCTCATTGGATAGCTGATATTTCCTGCTACTGTCTCACCTGGTTTGAGTAAAGAGCAGCAGCCACATATATTTTATGTCTCACATTTTTTAGCCTTTCAATCTATAAGCTACATAGCAGCCTATAAAATATTAGCAATAACTTCACTTTTCCCAGATATATTTAATCTTGTTTCTTAACCCAACAAAGATTCTCTTGCAAATTAAAAAAATCATTCCACTGTCTTAACTGGATAATACTTAGGAGAAAACTCTAATGGAGTTCGTTTCTCTCATGATACTGCATGTTTTTGCAAGTGAAGAATGAATGATGACATCAGAGCTTAAAAGCAACCAGAAATCTGGTGGGGAAGGTACATCTAACCCCTGGGAAAAATACATCCTTTCAGCTGTACTCAGCTAAGTGAGGAATAAACATCAAAATGTTTCTAAGAAACATGACTTTCCAGTCTCAGTAATTTTAGAAGTTAAAATTTTCATAATTTTCCAAGGAGAAGTCATTGATCCTAAACATTTTTAAAGTTATCTTGGAAGCTTTGGGTACTACGACTAATCCAGGTACTACATGGAGAGATGAGGAAGTCTTTCCTATTATTAAATCACATTCTTCCAAAATCATCCTGACTTAACAAAAACTTCCGAAAACTTGAGAATACTGCCTTGGATCAGTGGCTCTCCAACTTTAGTGTGCACCAGAATCACATGGAGGGCTTGTTCAAACAGTGTTGGCTCTGATTTAGCTGGAGTAACATGGGGCCTGAGAATTTACATTCCTAACCGGTTCCCAGGTGACACTGATGCTGCTGATCCAGGGAACACACTGAGAAATTATAGGAAACTTAAATAATAGGCCATTGTATTTATCACACCACTCTAAAATCAGTAACTTTTTGGTAATTAACAGATACATGGAGACGAGAAAGAACCATTAGGTCATGAAGTGGTAAGAAAAATTTGTATTAGGCAATTACTTTCACATCTTTTAAAAGAGGCTTAAAAAATAAGTTTAACTACAGGGGAAAAGAAAACTACAGGACCTAAAATCTCCCCCCAAACAAACCATACTGTTAAAGAAGAAAAACTGGGCAGACTAAAGCTCTGTTATGAATAAAAAATAACAGGCAAACACCTTAATAGAAGAAAAAAAAATTGGTCTCAGACTGTTAAAAAGGCAGTAGACACGTATAGAAAACAAACTAGTGCTTACCAGTGGGGAGAGGGATGGGGGAAGGGGGCAACATAGGGGTGGGGATTAAGAGGTACTATTATGCATAAAATAAGCTACAAGGATATATTGTACAACACTGGAATATAGCCAATATTTTATAGTAACCAAAGATGGAGTAAAACCTTTAAAAATTGTGAATCACTATATTGTTCAATTTGTAACTTACTTAGTATTGTACATCGACTATACTTCAATTAAAAAAAAAAGACAATTCACCCTCACGAAAGGAAATGTAACACAAGAAGTGTGTGAAAAATGCAGTTTCACTGGTAAAAGAATGAAAAGAGTTTCAGACGTGCCAATTAAACAGTGCTGGCTTAGGGTGTAGAAAAATAGGAACTCATAAGTGGTTAGTTGGAGTAAAAATTAGTAAAACCTTTTTGGAGACAATTTGGCAAGATGTATGCAAGGCAATCATTGGCTCTGCTCAAATAGGCACAATCATTGATGATCATCACATTTACAACACTGGAAGACTGGAAATAATTTAATAACCAATATTAGAGGATTAAATCAATTACAGCATATCTATATAGAGGAATAGTGTACAGTTATTAGGAAATATGCATTCTATATTTACTGCCATGGAAAAATATGTTTAAGGGAAAATGTAGATTATGGAAATATATATGTACATATAGTATATACATGTATACATATATACATGTATATATACATATATATCAAATATTTATTAAAATATATCTGCCTGAGGGGTTGGAAGTCTAGAAGGATACTCACCAAAATGTTAATAGTCATTACATTTCCTTAGGACGGTACAATTTAGGGTAATTTTATTTTTTAAATATTTGCATATGTGCTTTTCTATATAGTGACTGTGCACTAATCATGTAATTAAGAACTTTTAAAAGAAAAGAAAAAATAAGACTGACCTTTAAAATACTTAATACTTTTTTTTTTTTTTTTTTTTTGTGGTACGCGGGCCTCTCACTGCCATGGCCCCTCCCGTTGCGGAGCACAGGCTCCGGACGCGCAGGCCCAGCGGCCATGGCACACAGGCCCAGCTGCTCCGTGGCATGTGGGATTCTCCCGGACCGGGGCACGAACCTGCGTCCCCTGCACCAGCAGGTGGACTCTCAACCACTGCGCCACCAGGGAAGCCTCTAAAATTCTTAATACTTTAATCCAAAGTTAGAATTCAGCAAGGTTCTCTCTCTCAGTCATAGCTCCATTTTCAAAAATTCTATTATGGTTTTCTTATCAGTTCTAGCTGCTATCACCTCCTGTTAAATATCATACAGACTTTTAATCTGTTTTACCCTCGTACTTACTTGTACTTAGTTGTGAAATGTAACCAAAAGGCCATTTTAGAAAAATCCTCAAGGGCAATATTTAACTAGGTTAGAGTTTAGGCTTAGGTGTTCAGAGATGAGATTTTCATTCCTTTCTCTGACCTTGTGTCAGCCAATGGAACTTGAATGATTTTTAACATTGCAATTTAAGTAAATACTGTATAAACTTAAATTAATATGTCAGGAAAAAAGACACACTTTAATTTTCTTTAACAAATGATAGCACAAATCCCTGAAGAACACATGTGCTCAAGCGAATTTTTTTTTTACAGTGCATTACCAGTGATGCTACCTGCTGAGATGTAATTTGGGTCTTTAATTCTTTTTATGGCTAGTGACATAGCTCATACACAGATCACAAAAAGGAAAGACTGGAAATATTTATTTGTTCTATTATAATGAAAATATCTAAATTAAAGGTAAATGTTGCAAAATAAGAAAAATTTTAGCCTCTCACAATTATTTTCCTAGATGAACAGTAACAGTACCCAAAATAAGTACAACTAACATCAAGTAAATTACCACAAAGCACTGGGAATATTTCTAAATATAGCTCTCAGCAGTCCAAATGGTAACAAGTCACCTATTTTCTATACCCCTAATTATAGGTTTAAGATAGGATTTTGTATACCTGTGAAGATTTTATAAATCCAAATGTAAATGTCCTAGTATTCCTTATGCTTTTCCTTCTTCATATATAGCAAACACTGAATTCATGTCCACCTACTGTTCTAAACCAAAACACTACCCTAGCCAAAAAAAGTAATGGTAATATTAACGAATTTTAGCTAATTTTCTGATTCATCAATGAAATGGATATTTCCAGAGTGGAAGCAAATGTAGAGGATGATCAAATAAATGATGAGATTATCAGAAATGTATGAGAAATTAAAAATAATCAAATCAGTAAGACAAACTGAATTTATAAATATTTAACTGGGAAAAAAAGACATTTTTCTTTAGACACAAGATAAACTTTATAAGCAAATTTATATACAACGATTTAAAATTCCTAAGTGGCTACTCCACTTGAACAAGTAGAGTTAATGGACTTCAAATAATCAAACATTAGGCCTCAAAGTTGCTGGGTGTTTTCAATTTCATTTTGCTTCTTTTTCTAAAAAAAAAATTAGCAAATACAATCAACTACAGTTTAGTTGTAGAGGAAGTCAGTCAACAAATATTAACTATGCCTCTGTAGAGTATGCAGTTGCTTAACTGCTGAAGTTAAGTATTAAAGCTGGACGACGAAATCTGACCTTGTGGTTCATACAAGCTAATAGGAGTACAGGAACATGTCTTTTCTTGGCTCTGAGCCTCCAATGTAATTTGTTTATTGAAATCTGTGTTTATGTCCAAGTATACCTGACATAAATGGTTTTTTAAAAAGAGATAGAAAACAGTTGTTGGGGAAACACCCTTTAAAAAAATCTTGTGGACTTCCCTGGTGGCGCAGTGGTTAAGAATCCACCTGCCAATGCAGGGGACACGGGTTCAAGCCCTGGCCTGGGAAGATCCCACATGCCGCGGAGCAACTAAGCCCGTGCGCCACAACTACTGAGCCTGTGCTCTAGAGCCCGCGAGCCGCAACTACTGAGCCCGTGCGCCACAACTACTGAAGCCCGCGCGCCTGGAGCCTGTGCTCCACAACAAGAGAAGCCACCGCAATGAAGAGTGGCTCCTGCTTGCTGCAACTAGAGAGAGCCCGCGCGCAGCAACAGAGACCCAACACAGCCATACATACATACGTACATACGTACATACATATATATATAAATAAAAATCTTGGAAGACCAGCAAAATTCCTATTACTCCATTTCCTTGGAGTGAAACCATATTAGCATGTCGGAAATGTCTTGTTTTCAAAGAGCCAATGTTCAACACCATTTAGCAAGTAAGGAAAATATGTATTGAGTATTACATGGCACTTCGTAGGATTTAAAACGGCTATGCCTACATTTATTCCTAAGGAAAACAATATGTACTGAGTAGTACGTGGCACTTCTTAGGATTTAAAACTCCTATGCTTACATTTATTCCTTCTATAATAAGTGAATATGATTTTAATTAAAGCAATTTGATATTCTTCCAAAATGTTAATTGGTGGGTTGTCAGAAATTGTGTTTTTTAGATAAAGGGCATTTTTATTTTTATTTTTTATTTATGTATTTTTTGGCCGTGCCCTGTGGCATGCGGGATCTTAGTTCCCCAATCAGGGATGGAACCCATGCCCCCGGCACTGGGAGCGCAGAGTCTTAACCACTGGACATCCAGGGAAGTCCCAGTAAAGCACATTTTTAAATGCTGGTGTTATGAATATGCTTAAGACAAACTTTAATGAAATAAGAGATTTTTAGATCTCACACAGTAATAAAAAGTACCTTTAAATAATCAAGGACTCTCATCTCACCATCATAGATATCTCAGTGGAAAAACAGCATCGTTTTAGTTTGAGCTGACAAGTATCACAATAAGAGGCTTAACAACAAGGATGCACTTTGGGCCAAACAGCCAAATATATAAAGAGCACCCAAGCACACCTTTTTTAAAATCACATTTTTATTTAAAAGATTTCAAAATGTGAAGTTATATTTCCCAGAGAATACTGAGCATATAATGTAGCAAATACATAGCCTTTTTTTCATTTTTATTTAACGGTATGCTTCTTTACCACCGTCTCACGTCACAGTCCCATGTAGTCTAACTTCTGCCCCCACTGCATGCCTGAAACAGTACTTTCAGGGCAGAATAAGAGTGATTAAGAACGCTGGTCCTAAAATCAGACAGTCCCTGGTTTGAATCCTGGCTGTGCCAATGATTTCCTGTGTGACCTCTAACAAATAACTGAACTAGTTTTATTCTCTTGATAAAAGGAGGCTAATAATTTGCTACCTGATAGGTCTGCTGTAATAATTAAAGCCAGTTAAAGTATATTATGTGCTTAAGAACAGTGCCTGACACAGAGTACCTACATTAAATACACCCTGCTCTTGCTAAGGTTCTGTCACTCTGCTTTGGGCAGTGTGGTCCAAAAACTGTCTTCCAGCTCAAGGGTACAACCCAATTCCACTGTTTGTGTCTTGTGTATTATAGAATAAAAGCTGTCCATTTATTACAAGGACCAAGGTAAAAGTGAGATACGACAAAACTATTTTTTAAAGAACTTAGTGAACACTCTTTACTGATCTGTGAAAAAACAAAACAGAAAAAGCTCCTTACCATGGTCAGTACACTGATTTCTGACATCCTCTATGCTTTCTACTTTGATGGCTTCTTGAAGAAAAATGTAACAACTGTCTTGGAACTGAACCCAGGTGGATGAAGGGCAGTCTATGTGGAAGAAGAGATATGCTATTAAATAACTTTAATTTCATGAATTCCTAAAGATAAAGATATTAGATACTAAATTTTCACAGAAAAAAAAAGAATGGCAATTTCCCTTGTTAATTTTAGCCATAAGGCTCTTGGTCTTTGTTAAAATAAGAAATTGACTAGCGTGATAGGAATTTCTTTTTCACCATTGTACATGTGGGAAAAGGAAAATGCGCCACTGATTCCCTTCTGATTTGACAGAGCAAAGTTACAAGTCTTTAGGTGTTTAGTAGTTCAGACATGTAAATTATAGCATATTACATATGCTAATAACCAAGGCAATAAACTATCAAGGAAGAAAACCAATCAGAATTACAAGTTTTCTTTCAAGGCTATCTTTGCAGTATATAGTAACAATTCAGTTTCAAAGGTCGTAAGAGTCTTACAAGATCTTTTTGTTCAAAATACACTTTCAAGAACAGAGAAGAAAAGAAGTTGCTAGATTATGAATATTCAGACAAGTTTTCCTATTGCACAAGAAAACAAGATTGATGTTTTTATGAATGTTTTAATTTAACACTTCATCAAAGCAGATTCTTTGAACTAGTTTTATGAAACAGAACCATACTTCTTCCTCTCTTGCTGTAGAGGGTCATCTCCTTCATCTCTATCTTTTGGTGTTATTCATTATAAAGATGTGTATTTTTCAGCCTTGCCTCTGGAATTTCACTAGTTAGCATTAGAAGCAAAAGTAGGCCTGTTAAGACCTTGATTTCACTGGCCAGAATGGAGAAAGGATGTGAAGATTTTATTGAATTCCAGTGAATAAAGGAACATTAAGGCATTAACCTTCCATATTCTCTTAGGTCTGTATAGGGAAAATCACTTTTTACCTGGTTTTATTTTTGCGGGATCTCAGTTCCTCGACCAGGGATTGAACCCAGACCACAGCAATGAAATCACCAAATCCTAACCACTAGACCTAGCGCCAGGGAACTCCCTGAATTACAATTTTAATATAAACAAGTAGAAGAATGGCTTACTACAAAGATCAGAATTGAACAATCAGCTATGTTAGTCTAAATTCAACCACCTCCATTTCACTAAGCTCAGAATATGGCAGAGCCCATTCGTTGTCTCCAGTACTTGACCTCAGCTTCTTATACAGCACAGACTACAGGCCACCAAGCTACACTATCTCCCAGTCTTCTGGTGGCTTCTGGATAATGAAGTGTGAGCAGAAGTGAAATGTGCAAAAATATGCCTTTAAAAGGAAAGAGTGTGCTCCCTGGACCACATTTCCTCTTTCCCTCTGGCTAAAATGTAGCTAGGTATCTTCAATCAATCGTGTAAACAATGGAAACAGCCTAGGAATAACAGCAACAAGATAAAAGGATCCTAAGTGAAGCCAACATATCACACTCAGGTTGTAAAGAGAGAGAAAATAAACTTCGATCTTGTTAAGCCATTGATAATTCAGGTCATTGTTATAGCAGCTGAATCAATAACCTAATTAATACAATGGGCTACTTAAAATTACCTCAATTTGTGAGTCATGAGTTTTTCTCTGGCCTCATACTGCTACATTTAGTGACTAAACCATCCAAGATGTACTAGCCTTAGGGTAGGCATCCCAAGACACAATTTATTTTGTATATAGGTTCTTTTTTTTTTTTCCTTCCTGCTGTTTATAAATTCTTGTCTTACACGTGTGACTACCTTGGTTTGAACTCCGGCAGGAATCTAGAACTTTCCCATTATGGTGGCTTAAAGTTGGAAAGGGATGTTTTAACAACAAGCACTTTGCTTTGGGAAAATGCTCACAGTAAACCATTAATTTTTTAAAATCTCACTATAAAAATATATCTGCAGTATGATTCCAATGTTTAAAAAGCAAGGAAGTCTAAAATATCATGTATCACTTATATGTGGAATCTAAAAAAAGCGTACAAATGAACTTATCTACACAACAAATAGAGTTACAGATATAGAAAATAAACTTACTGTTACCGGGGGTAATGGGGGGGAGGGATAAATTGGAAGATTGGGATTGACATATATATACACTACTATATATAAAACAGATAACTAATAAGGACCTACTGTATAACACAGAACTCTACTCAATACTCTGTAATGGCCTATATGGGAAAAGAATCAAAAAAGGAGTGGATATATGTATATGTATAACTGATTCTCTTTGCTGTACACCTGAAACTAACATAACTAACAAACTAACAACATTGTAAATCAACTATACTCCAATAAAAATAAAAAAAATAATAAAGTAAAATTAAATTAAATTTTAAAAAAGCAAGGAAGTCTACAAAAGTTCAGGAATTGGAAAGGCATTTTGTAGGAAGAAGGCTCAGGAAGGGCCTGAAAACAAGGTGCTTGGTTGAAAGTCTGTATGTGGAGCAAACCCTTAGATCCTCTTCCTGAGGAGCAGTACTCAGCCATCTCGGTTTCTCCGTACACCTCTGCTGCCTTCTATTCAGAAGAAAAGACTTTTATTCCTGCATTTCCACTTCCAGACCATCAACATTACCCACTGCTCATCCTTTGAGATTCAGGCCATCTATCTACACCACTTTCTCTAAGACACCACCACTGTAATGTATTTTAACTTCCGCTTGTAATTTCATCACATAGTTCTTTCTCTTTGAACTCACCATCCAATGGCCATGTAAAGTAGCAGAAGGAACACAACTTTGAAGTCAGACAGACCTGTATTTTTATCTTGGTGGTGAGACCTTGGACAACTTATTTCCTGTATTTCCTCAGGCAAAAAGGGATAACAACCTCATTGGATTGTTGTTATGAACATTAAGAAGCAACAAAACTGTACAGCACGGTGCCTAGTACAAGGAAGGTGCCCAATATATTGTAGCTTTTATTAACTCTACCATCCTCGGCACCCTTCTCTAGAGACAGTGACCTCTCTGAAAATAGGGGCCGAGCCTTATTTTTGAATCCCCAACACCTCAGATAGCTCCTTGGACTATAATAGGGACCAAAATATTTTGCTAAATGAATGAATGAATCCTATCCCTACATCCTTAAATGGCTTAATTTATCATCCCTTCAGCATCCTCAAACACTCCCTTTGCAGTGTATTCATCTTTTCCTTCTAGAAGCAGGCTGTTTTCTTATACCCTGGAATAGAACTGGATTGACCTTGCTGCCAATTCTAACACCATTACTGGTACAGTTGGCCCTCGGTATCTGTGGATGTGGAACCCTCGGATACAGAGGACCGATTGTACTACGCCGCTTTATATAAGGTACTTGAGCATCCTCGGATTCTGATATCCACGGAGGGTCCTGGTACCAGTCCCCTGAAGATACCGAGAGACTATACTTTTTAAAAATTAAACTTTTTACTGAAATACAATATACAATGTGCAAATCACACATACCTATCTTGGTGAATCTGCATAGAATGAACATACCCATGTAATCATTGGTGAGATGAAGAAACAGACCATTAACCAAACCCGTTTGGTCCACTCACTTCCAAAGGTAATCACACCTAACTTCTAACACCACAGGTTAGTTCTGTCAGTTTTTGAACTCTATAGTAATGAACACATACAGTATGTACTCTTTAGTGTCTGGTTTCTTTTGATAAACATTACTTTCATGAGATTCATTTATGTTGTAGCATGTAGCTGTAGGTTCTTTCTCACTGCTATATAGTATTGTATGACTTTATTCATTCTGTTGATGAATGTCTGGGTAGTTTCTAGTGCGTGGCCATGACAATATATGAGGCTATAAACATCCTCTGCACATGTTTTGGCGCACATATGCATGCTTTCTTGTGGGTATATTTCTAGAAGTAGATTGCTGGGCCATAGAGTGTACATGTGTCCAGCTCTGACAGATACTGCCAAACACTTTTCCAAGGTGGTTATAATCCTTTTAAACAAGTAGGTTTAAAAAAAAACCAAAAAACCCAGTTTGATAATCTTTGTCTTTTGAGTATTTCCATTAATATTTAACATAGTTATGTATGTATTTGAGTTTATATCTACCATCTTACTATTCATTTTCTTATTTGTCCTACCTGTTTTATGTTCTTTTCTTTCCCTTTGTTGTCTTCTTTTTGGATTATTAAACAATTTTATATTCCATTTTTCTTTTAGCTTATTAATTACACATTCTTTAATTTTATTTCTATAGTGGGTACCCTGAAAATTACAGCATGCAACCTTGATTTATTAGTACCTAAAATAAACGAGTACTTTTACCATTTCCTAGACAGCACTAGGATCTTACAGTAATTTAACTTCTCTTCCTTTGTGTTATTGTTATTACTATTTTGCACGGTCAATGTTCATTTAGTTTTAAACACATATTTACCTTCTCTGTTGCTTTTCATTCCTTCTTACATTTCTGTATTACTAAATGTAATAATTTTCTGTTTGCCTGAATAAACCCCTTTAATGGTAGGTCTATTACAAATTCCCTCAACTCTTGATTTTCTGTAAATGTCTTTATACTGCCTTCCTGTTTGAAGGCTATTTTTGCAAGTACAAAATTCTAGAATGGCAGCTTATCTTTCATTGAAGATGTATATAATTTTACTGTTTTGGCTTCCATCATTCCTATTGAGAAATCAGGTATTAGTCTGATTGTTACTCTTTGATGGCTGCTTTCAAGATTTTCTTTGTCGTCTTTGGTTTTTAGTAGTTTGACAGTGGTATGCCTAGTATTTTTTTTTAATCCTGGTAATAATGTAATGCAATTATTGAATCTGTGGGTTTATTTTCACTGTTCACTTTTGGAAAGTTCTTGGCCATCATCACTTCAAATAATGCTTCTCCTCCATTTTCTTTCTCCTCCCTTTCTGGGACTCAAAATACATATATGTTAGATTTCTCACCATGTCCAATATGTTCACTTTGCTCTTTTCTATTTTTAATACTTTTGGCTCTCCATATCATAATCTTGTTCTTTCTGGTTTACTAATCTACTCTTCAGTTTTAACAAATCTGCTATTAAACCCATCTACT